AAAGACTATGTACTCCTTAAAGTTGGAAGCCCAAATTTAGGTGTAAGGAGAGTAAGTTAACAGGATTTGGCTCTAGCGTAATTTAAAGCTTGAATTCGATATAGGATTCATATAGCTATAAAGGCTTGTAGAGGACGTTATAAAGGCAGGAAAGCTAGGGTCAGAATTCTGACCCCAGAACTCCCCTTTTGACCCTACTCAGGTGTCCCATCTGCAAGTTTTGATAAACACTTTAATCTTTGATTGTTTATTTGTTCTATTGCCCTTAAAAATATATTTGTTGTTGTACTTTCAGTAGATGCTAATGGTTATAGACAGACTTTCGTATAATTGGCAGTTTAAATCAATTTAATTTTATATTATTTATACAGTTTAAAGTACTTTTTAAAAAAATAAAACTACAAAGAATAAACAAAAAAGAAGTATATATAAAGTTTTATTAGGGTTGTAAGACTCCACTATTAAAAATAATCCAAATTCTTTTTTGTTTTAAAGAAGTTAGCATAGTAGCAACTTCTTAATGATAGATAGAATTAGGTTATCACCATGCTAACTTCTTTAAAACAAAAAAGAATTTGGATTATTTTTAATAGTGGAGTCCTACAACCCTAATAAAACTTTCTATATACTTCTTTTTTGTTTATTCTTTGTAGTTTTATTTTTTTTAAAAAGTACTTTAAACTATATAAATAATATAAAATTAATTTAATTTAAACTGCTAATCATACGAAAGTCTGCCTATGATGCTGATGGTCGAATGATATCAGGACTGTTAAATTTTCTATTTTCACTAATTAACAACGAAGTCATTTAAAAAAGTGTCATGATTTTATTGGGGTTTCCATAACCCTTTGTGAAACTGAAGCTGTTGTGTTTTTAGTTGTAATACTTAATAGTTTTGAAATAAAAGGAACTGTTTGAAATAGTTTTCTTTCGGTAATACAACTTAGTAGCAGCAAATAAGAAAGGTAAAGTAACAATTTAATATTTTGTGTTGGCTAATTTTGTTATCATTATGACTTACTTTCAGTTTGTGTTTTTTTTTAGTAAGCTTGGCAATAAGAAAAGTACAAGATTAAAGTATTCGGTATTATTGGTAAATATAATAATGACAAAAAATAAATTATTTATCAACAGGAGATTCTATATTCTCTTTTATCTTACTATTGGACCTCTTGGACTTGCAAAGAGTGAACAACTCATTTTTAGCTATATTTTTTTTAATAAGAACATTCTCCTTATTTGTATTATTAGACTCACAAAGAGTGGTCGACTCACTTTCGGTTTTATTTACTGTGTAGATTTGGCAATAGTGCAAGACTATGTATTCGGTTATTATTGGTAAATATGATAACTGACTTATTCTCCTTATTTGTATTTTTTAACTGCCAAAAAAAAGAACGTAACAGGTGAGTTAAGATTCTTAGCCAGACTCCTCCTAACGGAATCTTAAAATCAGTCAAAGAATCAAAACAGTGAAAAGTGCATGTCGCAGAAGCTCAAATGTCTGGACACTCTTCTTCCCCAAGATCGTAATGTCAGGGTGTATCACTGAATCAACTATTCTCATTAACACTTCCACATTATGAAAACGTGCAAAAGCACTAACCTTAGGTTATGCTTCACTGCTAAGACCTTCTTTATTTCATTTGTTCCTGGATCTAGATTTTTGGTTAAAATATCAAGCTCAGGTCCAAAAACACTGCGTGACTCTCTCTTCGATGTTATCTCAGGATGTGTTTTGAAATAGAAAAGATCCCAAGTATTTAATCCCCACTTATTGTACGGTCTTTCCCGGTAGCTGGGATGTCGAACTTTACTTAAAATCTCTTTTAACAACATAGTCAATAAACAAAAAAAGCTAACAGGTAGAGAAAAAAATAAGAGTTTAAATATATCCTGACGCAAAAAAAAAAACTATTGACTGATAGTGTATACTTTCAAAGACACGTATTATACGTATTGTTGAGTTTGAAAACGGCGAGTCTGTCGCTAGAAGACCAGAATTCTCGCGCTATGTCAATTTCAAGGCTTGAATAGAGGCGTAA